AGGACCATCAGAACCAGGACAAAGGTGCTCAGGTTGCCAGTCATTAAGAGAGCAGGAGCGGCGGTGGCGCGATTCTCGAGACAGGCGCTTCCGTCCGCAATGCAGCATGGCGCTGAGGTGCATCGGGCACCCCCCAGACTCGCACAGCAAATGCGAAGCGTCATGAGAGGGACCTGATACACTCCCGGGGCCACTACGTCCGCCTGGATATCCTCCTGCCCCCAGGGAAAGGTCGGGGACGACCCGCAGGTCCATTGTTGGATCCACTCCATCTTCCAGCGGGCGCTCCTGGCCCAGGACAGGTGCAAATCCTATGGCGCGTTGCAGAAGGCTCGGCATGGCCAAGTAATTCGTGTTCTTCGGGATCCGAACACGTGGGAGTAGGTCGCAGGCGCGACTGGCGCTATGTTTTTTTTGCGCTGCGCCAGATCGGCTGAAGGCCCGCGTCCACCTCCATCTTGAGAACGGATCATGATGACAAGATCGACTTCTGCATGGCTGCCCCGGTTACGTACGCGACTTGGCGAAAGCCGCTGCTGCTCGCACGACGCGGTCGTCTTGGGCTAGGAAGAGTAATCCCGCGGATGACGGAATGGGCCCGAAAGAACGCATTGGCTATTGGCTGGAGCCCATCATGGGCCTTTTGAATCAAGCCCCCGACGAGCCCGACGATAGCGCCCAGGACCCCGAGGACACTTCAGAGCCAGCCTCCAAGCGGACCCCTTCAATTCAAGAAAGTGCCATGTTGCGCACACATGTTGGCGGAGACTTCTGGGCGCCTAGCAGATTATGTCGGCATGGGCATGCGATCGCATATTGCTGCCCCTTTTGCACTAACGAATCCTGCGCACCAGATCATACTGTTTGGGAATGCCCAGGTCGTGAACAGCAGAGGCCCGCCTGTCGAAGTAGTACTGATACGCGAGGTCCCCCGCCAAGGTCTCACGGATCCTGGTTTGGGAACCGAGGACTGGCCTCCGGATCGTGCTTCCCGCCGCTGCCTAGGCAAGACGATCGCGATCGCTGTTATATCGAGTACGACAGTCTCGACAGAGTCACAGGTGACATATACGCTGTCGGCGCGCGCAGAAAGGCGCGGTTCTGGCCCGAGTCGAGAGCGGGATGGGGTTTCGTTAAGCACTCTTCCTGTATCGAGGTCATGGTATACGGTGCCCTTTCTGGTCCAGTCCAGACCTCGCCAAGGGCTGAGCTACAAGCTACACGCCTTCGTGCAAGCTCTGGGGGGTTGTATTACCTTAGTACATGTACACACTGAGTATCTGGGCATCTTGGACGGTCTGTCCTGGGGGCCCGCCTATACGCGTGGACCTAGACGGCCCAACGGTGACTTGTGGAAATCGATGCGGCACGAAATTGGTGATTTAGGAGGCCTTGGAGAAGCCGTGAAAGTCACACATGCGAGGGGGTACCAATCCCGTGCCACCCAAGACGCTCGCGCGAATAGATGGGCAAATCTCGCGGCCAGAACTGGCAGGGATCCGCATTCTGCCACGTCTCAGCAGCAAAAGGCGTTGCCCCATGCTATGAGGCCCACCGAGAAAGCGCCGCATCGGCGTGTAATTGTGCACTTGCATCACCTCTCTGCGGGGAGGACCGAAACTCGAGCCCGCAAGAAGACCAAGGACGACCGCTCACGGGTTGAGCCTACTCCTCTTCACCTGCGCCACCACATGCCCGAACAGGCCAAGCTTGTTCGGTGCAGCTTCTGTAAGAAAGGAGTTCGACTGCCGAACGCCCGCGCACGTCTGTCCCTAGCCTGCCCTGCTAGAAACAGGGCCGCCTTCGCTCCGCCTGTAAGCGACGACTTCCAAGGACCGCCGTTTGGGCGCGAGGAGCCCTGGGGTGCTCCGGGAGAAACCAAAGTGGAACGAAAGCGCGCATATGAGCAAGCTCTTGAGGAGCCGCCCGCTCAGCGCATGCGTGTTATTAATACTAATACCAGGCCCAGGGATAGAAGCCCTGATACCCGCAGTGTACAAATGCGGGTGGAATTCGACCCTGTAACACACACTGCGTCAGCCGACGTCTGTGAGTTAACTGATGCTGTCGGCAGGGTCTGTGTTCCCTCGGTGGTGTTTGGGGCCCGCAGTGAGGCCGCAAGAATGGTCGACCCTACTATTCCCTCGCGTGAAGGGCCTACGATTGTTCCTGACCGCAGGAGACAGCGTAAAGGACACGGCCGCAACCATGGGCCTAGGGAGGCCGAGTTGACGGTCCCTGCGGCCATGGTGCCGCGAGTTGGCATTGTTCCGTCCACGGCCTCTGTGGCCACAGAGTGTGGGCCGCGCCAGGCCATTGCGTCCTCTGCGTGTCGTGCGGTTTTTTCTCGACAGGAATTTCTGGCCACCTTCTTATAAATTGCGAAGCTGGTGAAACCCAACTTTCCGAGCATGCTGCCCGTAACAGACGTGTTTCTCGCTGGGAAACACCCAACCGATGAGGGTCGGGTAGGTTGTAGGACTTTCGCTGCCCCGCGACCTTTGGAAGCCCAGGATCCCGAGGTCCACTGGCTACGGTTCCTTGCGGAGCCGCAGTAGTTACAGGCAGTCTACTCAAAGTCCTCACAGTGTGAGGCTGCCTTCCATATCTCCCATATCGTATCTTCATACTATGTTTGTTGCTCCGCACCTGCGCCGAGATCCCTCGGATGAGCAATGGTGCGCCAGGAACTACCGAGGGAGGCGCCCATTGCCTGCTCTCATTCTCGTGTGCCCGCCTTTGCTGACGGACGCGGCGGCGCCAAGCAACTTCTTATCCTCCTCCTCCGCGCCCTCCGCCTCCTCCTCCACCTTCTCGACCTCCTGCTCCTCTCTCCCCCGACTCCTCCTCCTCCTCATCGTCCTCCTCATCCTCCTCCTCCTCCTCCTCCTACTCCTCCTCCTCCGCCCCCTCATCATCCGCACCCACCTCCTCCTCCACTTCCTCCACCTCCTCCTCCCCCTCCTCCTCCGCCTCCTGCGCCTTCTCCTACTCAGGATGTGTTAGCTCTATTGTGTCTGATCATACTTAGTAGTAGTAAGCGGCCCACGTTCCTCGGTAGCAGCCTTATTCATATTAGTAGTGGTCTTAACATTCGTGAAATTATTCTTCCTACTAACATTACTAGGCTGATTATTCATAGTGTTCGCAGTAGCGGTATTCATAAGATTAGACGAGCTGGTATTGGTATGACTACTGATGTTAGTGTTCGTTGTAATACGCGTATGTATGATGCATCATGTGAGTAATGTTCGTCGCATTAGTATTGGTATTAGCCGTGGTATGATTAGTAGGATGAGTATAAGTGCTCGTGTGCTGCATATTGGTAAGTTGAGTCTTGTCAGTGGTAGTAGTGCGACCAGTCGCGATAGTCGCCTTCTCCTTAGTAGCCATGCTCGCCTCCTCGGTATACGTAACTACTCATAGTCGTACTACAAATTAGTAGGGTTCGACGTAGTCTCAATATGCTGCTTCATCGGCGTATGTTTCCGTTTAGCATGCGTAGTAGTATGCTGTTTAGAAGTAGCCGGTGCCGCCTTAGTACGATTGATACTGTTCATCGTATTCGTAGTCCCCGTACTCGTGTTAAAAAAAATGTGTATTGTGCTATTAGCCGTGGTAGTAGCGGTCTTAGTCTTCGTATAAGTAATCACGTTATTATTATTCGTAGTAGCCGAATAATTGCATGTTTACTTTTGTGAGTATGACTAGTTTTCGCAATATGATTGTGGCTCCTCCTCCTCCTCCTCCTCCGTGTCCTGGTCATCCTCCTCCTCCTCCTCCTCCTCCTCCTCCTCCTCCTCCTCCTCCTCCTCCTCCAGCTCCTCCTCCTCCTCCTCCAGCTCCCGCTCCTCCTCATCTTCCTCCTCTTCCTCCTTCTCCCCCTCCCCATCCCCCTTCCCCTCCCCCGTTCCCCTCCCCCTCCCCCCGCCTCGTCCTCTTCCTCCTCTCCTCTTCCTCATCCTCCTCCTCCTCCTCCTCCTCCTCCTCCTCCTCCTCCTCCGCCTCCTCCTCGTCGCCCTCCTCGTAAGTATAGGCGGGAGCAAGTCCACGTCAGATCGCACCGCCCGCAACAAAGAAACAGGGCAGACCGCTGGAGGCCGCCATCATCTCGCAGAGGAGCTGGTACCAGCTCCAGCCGCGCAAAGGGCAACACCCAGAACGCATCATCCTCCTCGTCCTCATCGTCCTGGTTCTCATTATCCTACTGTTCGTGCTCCTGCTCCTGCTCCTCCTCCTCCTACTCCTCCTCCTCCTCCTGCTCCTCCTCCTCCTGCTCCTCCTCCTCCTCCTCCTGCTCCTCCTCCTGCTCCTGCTCCTCCTCCAGCTCCTCCTCCAGCTCCTCCTCCTCCTCCTCCTCCTCATCATCATCATCATCATCATCCTCCTCCTCATTTCCCTCCACCTCCTCCTCCTCCTCCTCCTCCTCCTCCTCCTCATGCTCCTCCGCATATCTCCTTTCGCAGCGTGGAGCGCCATGATACACGCCCACGGCGGCTTGTACCCCCAGCTATTCCTGGACGGCTTTCACGGGGGCGCCGACGTGATCGACTCCAGGGTACCACACGTTGACATGTGATGCACGCTCTGGCGCGTGACCTGCGGACCAACATCCCAATGGTCAAGATTCTGACGCACGCTCCGTGGAGAAATGTCCCCAATGGCCAAATGAGGGACAAACAGAAACGGGTACACCACGCGAAATGGTTAAGAAATCATGGGTTCAGAAATTCATGGTCTCAGAACTCGAATAAAAACCCAGAATTTCTATCAAAATCTTAGGGTTCGCATTGAAACATTAAGAATAACCGAGACTCTGGCCGAAAACTCAAGTTTTCTTAAGCATCGCCTAAGGTGTACGAGGTGACACAGAGACCGTACGCGGTGACTCGGGCGGGCAGCCAGCGCGGCACACCACACTGGAAACGAGGGCGCCTACGCGCGACCTTACGCGGGCAGCTCACGCGCCAACGTCGGTGCAGTCGACCCCGCTTTTCTTCCACCGCTCATATCACGATCGCCGACCGACCTGGAAAATACGAGGGTCTGAGCGGCCAAACATGCCCCGCAGCGCCGTCGTGCGAAGTGCGGCGGACCGCGCGGCCGAGGCCGCGGCACTCTGACGTGTTCTCGCAACTGCCGCGCCCACAGAAGCAGGCACACATCTCACGCAACGTACCGCTGTCAACATCGCCTACTGGGTGGCCAAGGCGGCGAACGTCGGCGAGGTGCTGCTCCCGGAACGTGTGGCCTGCGTACACCCCCGGAAATGCGGGTGGCGGCACTCCGGCCGACGCCTTCTTCGCATGGCGCAGTGCGAGAAGGCCATGCGCGACAACCACGGGACAGCTGCGCCTGCAGGCGTCGTGACGCTGCAAGAGTGCCCAGCTGGCGCTTGCGCGGCGGGCGCGGCAGCGTGTCCACGAGAGGGCGCGCAGCACGCCGCTGCCGCCCGGGAAGCGCGCCACGAGCTGCGGCGTGACGTCTTCGCGGCGAACCCGCAGCTGGCTGGCCAGACGCACACACGACCACTCGCGCTCGACAGCGCGGCATCACAGCCGCTGCCAGTGGAGCCTTCGCTGGCAACTCATGGGAGGCTCCCGTACCATCTTGTCGGCTCTTGCGATTCGACGCTAAACGACGCTACATCGACACTACAACGACGCTAAATCGGCGCTATCGCATCGACTCCCAGAAGCTAATCGATGCTAGTCGACGCTGAAGGTGAAATGAAGAGGGTATACTGGGCTCCTTTGACGTGCTACCGAAGGAGCCGATGCCCAGCAGCATCCGTCCCGGTGTCTCGGAGGCTTCAGTGGCCGCGACGGCCGCCCTTTGCCGCGGCGGCGGGCGCGGAGCCGCGACAGGAGCGGGCACCGCGCACACCACGGCAGGTTCACCCCGGCGCTTTGCAGGAGCGAAGGCCAGCCAGCCGCGGCGGGCTCCCGGAGCCGAGGCCCCGCCGCCGCCTCGGACAGAGGACGGCGCCAGTCCACCAGCGCGAAGCGCCCGCAGGCTTGGCCCGGGGCTGCGCGGCCCCGCGCGACCCTTCACGTCGACAACATGCAGAGTGACAGTGGGATGCTGGCCCCACACGAGGGGCTGCGAGGCTGGCGCCTGGGGCATCGACCTTCAGGGACCTCGGCAGTCGGTGGGCACGGATATGTTCAGGCCCTGAAGGGCGGGGCGAATATATCCGCATCCACCGCCTCTCGAGGTCCCCGAAGGTCGATCCCCCAGGCAGGTGGGATGGTGGATAAAGCCTCAAGCCACGCCTCGCACAGAGGCGTCCGCCGATTCCACCGTTGCTCTGGGATCCACCAATGCAGCAATTGGCGGCGCGCACAAGGGGGGAGGGGGAGGGGGGAAGGCTTCTTAGAAGGAGGCTGCTTCTTAGAAGGCGCCTGCCGCACATCTATAGATAACCCAGAGGGGACTTGAGTATACTCCTTTTCTCATCATGGAACCAACTGATTTTTTACGTGAGCTCAAACAAATTGGGGTCGAAAGCAAGATTGGGGAAAGAACAACACTCGCGGCGACCACTGCTGGGAGTCCGATGGGTTCCTGAGAGTCTCCCTTAGGATTCCTTTGTATTCGTCGGATTCTAAGAGTTCATACGGATTACTGAGGATTCACACGGATTGCAAAGGGTTCGTAGGATTCCTCAAGATAGGTTTGCTGAGAATCCCTGGGAATCCAAAAAGCGATTCCTAGGAAGGGGAGGACGAATTGTCTTGCCGGCCGAGAGATTCGGGGGCGGGGAGGGCGCGCGTCGTCTGGCATTTGAAGAGTTGCGGTTGGTTTGGTAGGAGGTAAAGCTATGGCGCGCGGCCTGTCTCGGATGTTGTCGGCCAGCTCTTCGAGGGGTCTTGCGCAAGACAGGTTGCGCATTGCACCGGCCAGGGTGCGCCGCAAAGCTGGAGCGCGCGCGCGAGAAGCGCGCTGCTCTGCATGACTCAATTCGTTGTGCCGCTAGGTGCTGGCCGCATTGGTGCTTGTCTAGCATGCCTGGCTGTGTGAGTATAGCTCGTGCTGAAAGAGTCAGTGGTGTTGGGAAGTCGATGTAGTTGTAGTCGTCGCCGTGCTCACTATTGCCTGCGTTGCTGAAGACAGTTTCTCTTGCGACTGCATGGAAAGCTGCCGCGAGGTCGATGCAGCTCCTGATGGTAGTGGTCTCGCGGCGTCTGCTGTAGCTTGTGACCAGCGCTGCTGCGCGCGCTGCGAATGACGTCGATCTTCCTGCCAGTCCTCCACACTGAGTTGGTAGTAGTGGTTGTTGCAGTAGGGATGTTAACCTCTGCCTGAGAGAGGTGTAGTGCAGCTTGGGCATTCCGGATGCAAGTAGGATTGATCTGGATTGAGCTGTCTTGCTGATAATGCCTTCCCCTCTGCATAAGGGCACTGGCGTTCCGCGGTTCCATATGAGCGGTTCTTGCTGGTACAAGGATGTGTTGAGTAAGACCGGGCGCATGTGCCCGGCTGCGCTTGCGGCTGCTGCTTAAGAAAGTCGGTTGTGATGCGGTCGGGTCCTTGGTGATGCTACTTCCCTGATCATAGCGATGATCCTGGTCATTAAGATGATGTGTTGGAGTGATTGTGGCGTCGTGGATGTGGTCGCTGTGTAGTTGTAGGGGTCACGCATGCAGTCGATGCCTGCGATTGAGGCTCCTTCATGATTTGCAAAATGTCACGTGAACTCGCTCGCTCGTTGCTCGCCCGAGTCGAGTGTGTTTCCTTCGGAGCCAGAGAAGAATGGTATAGCCCGTGTCTTGTTCCTGGTCCGCATCGTAGCGCTGGATTTGCGCGCTGCCAGGCTGATCTGTGCTCACGTGCGTCTTGTAAGTTTTGGAATTGGTTTGATAGTTGCGTAACGTGGCTAGCTCGGCCAAGCTTGAGTTGTACAGCTAATGGTGCTTGGGTTGCCGCATGCAACGCCAGTAGTAGTGCGTAGATGCACGGGTCTGTCGGTCTGCCTGTTGTGTACTTTGTTGGGTCGCGGCTGAGCTTGTGACACATTACGGCCGCGGTTGTCTTGCGATCTTGCCAAAGGACTGCGACGGCGTGTCGACGTAGCCGGACGAGCTTCATGGCGTCGGTGGTGATGCATGGTTGTCTTGGTGTGAACTTGTCTTTGGGGAAGTGAGATGTTGCTGCTGCGTGTAGCGCGTCAGTAATTGTCTGGTGGTGCACATTGATGGTTAAGTCCCATGTAGAGAGCGGATGCTTGTCGATCATCTCCACGAAGGCTGCCTGTTGTGCGGGGTCTTGCATCTTGAGTGGGTCGTATGGTGCATGCTTGTTGCTGCTCTTGGTGGTGTTTCTGGCGTAATGGCAAATGGCGTATGTTGGGAAATAGTATTCGTTTTGGGCGCCAGGGTCGTGTTGGTGGTCGATGTAGACCTCCTGTATGTCTGGTGTCCAGTCGTTGGCAATGGCTGTGTAGTCATTTCTGAATTTGAATGATTTGTCTTTTTACTGCTTGATGCATGCGTGGGTCGATTCGGGTACGGTTGTTGCGTTGATGCACGTAAGGTCAGATACTGCCATGAGAAGTCTCACGCGCGTTGCGCTGTCGTCTCTTCATGTTGGGCTGCGGGCGGGGGTATGCGGCCGATGCCTGGTGAGGGTGTCTCTGGGATGTGTGCGCTGAAGTCAGCATGAAAATGGTAGGCGGCCATCTGGTCGCTAGCGTGTGAAGCGTTTTCCCATCAGATGGCTGGGTGGCGTGGGTCGCGACTGACGCGTGGGGCATGTGCTACGTAAAGGATCTCGCTGATGAGCGGCGCGTGGAGCTTGACGATTAAGGGGCGATATGATGAGTGCAGCACTCTGAAGGGTTGGCATGTGAAGAAGAAGTCTTCCTTTGGGCGTATTCGCGCAAGGTATTGATGTGGTGCCAAGCAAGCTGCGTGCAAACGTCGATGGATGGTGTGGAGTGGCGAGTTGGAAAAGTGTGTCTGTTGAAGTCGGTTCGTGCTGTTGTTCCTGGTGCCCCCATGACATGGGCTTGGTGTAGCAGTACTTTTGCACGCAGGTGCTGTCCTCCTGTCTTGTGATTGAATGCCCCTCTTGTCGTATGACGCTGCTTCGTTGAATGCATCGATGTTTGCTTGGTGTGCGTTGTATGTGGCTATGTTGATGTGGATGTCCGTTGGGTTGGCCTTTTTCGTCGGTGTGGTTGGGCCTTGTGTTGGTCTACTGATGTATGTTGGTAGTCGTGAGTGGTTCGTTCTGGTGTGCTATGTGGGCTGAATAGTGTAACCCATTGGCTGCGATCAATGGATATGCACAATGGTCGTTGCTGCTGGCTGCTTTGTAAATGGTCCAGTACATGTTTGGGTGGTATGACAATAACGTTTGGATATCGTCGTCGGGTTGCTATGGTATTTGTTGTTTTTGAAATCGCCTGGTGCGTGAGTGGCTGCGTGGTGCTTTGCGAGTATGTCTGCAGGGTCATTCCATGGGTAGTCGTTGCGTCCGTGGACGTTGTGGATGGTGATGCGGTGCCGTTGTTTGGCAGTATGAAAAATTACCTGTGCTAGTCGTGTGAATGGGTCGGTTGAGTCTTGCTGCTGGGCGATTAGGTGTACTGCGTTCGCTGAGTCGGTGTGTAAAATTTTATATATGTAAGATGGTTGCTGATAGCGCTGTCGATGCTAGCTGTTAGCTCTATGTTGCTGGTCGATGCTGCTGTTCGGTAGCCCATATGATTGCTGCTAGCTCTATGCTGGTGATGTCGAATCGGTCATGGTCAATGCTGGCGCGCACGCTGCGTGTGAAGCTGCTGGAATACTATCCTATATAACTCGGTTGGTGTCCGTCGTAGCGGAAAGCAACAAATGCCCATGCTGAGTTGCCTTCTCGCGCCCGTAGTGATCCATCAGGGTAGATGAGTAGGCTGTTGGTGGTTGGTAGGTTTGGAGTGGAGAGGGAGAGCGGCTCTGGTCACTGGGTGGAGCTCAATGTCAGCGAGGTCGCATGCGAGTCTGACTCTTTGCTGCGAATCGGAAACGCTTTGGAGGATGCACTTGGGAATGCGATGCTGGATGCAGGGCCCGGGAAGCTTCTCGGAAGGCCAGGGGCCTCCCGAGCTTTCCGAGACGGCCCGCCCGCTCTGCCTCGCCCCGGGGCTCGCCGCCGGTTTCTCGTCCGTTCCCTGCGGGCAAGATCTACATCCACATCCACTGCGCCGCGGACTCTCTGGGAAGGGGCGCCAAAGGGCCGCGGCGCAGAGGTTGCGGATGAACACGTGGCCTCTATAGGGGTCCAATGTTGAGCATATCCGCCGCGCCTCTGGTTTCTGGGGAAGGGGTCCCGCAAATGAAAGACGCAGTGGATGCGGATACAAAACTTGCCCGCGCCGTACGCCCTCCCCCTTGGGCCCGCCACCCATGCCCATCCCTTCTCTGCCCCTTCCTTCTTTCCCGCACGCCCCGCGGCGTACTCCTCTGTTCCTCCGCCGCCACGCCGCTCGATCCCGCTCCTCCTTGAAATCTGCACTGGCACATGGGCGACGCAAAGAAGTGGGTCTCACGCGAGATGGCATAGCGTTAGGTCGGGAACGTCCCATCGCAGGCGGATTTTGGTAGAAAAACAGAAACAGACAAAGA